GACCTGTCGAGAGACATTCTGAAGGCTGAATCGTGCGCAATGTCATGCCCTGAGCTCAATCTCAGCGTGGAGCCAGGAACCCTGGGCGGGAGATTCACCACGGTGGAAGGTATTCTCACTCAAGTCAGAAACGACCTCCATTCATCTATATTCGACGTGGGAGACGACGGCGGCGACTCTATGAATTCCGCGTCCAAAGAGAAGTGGGTCACTTTCTTCGGCCAACTCGATGCTGCCATCAAGGGCGAGGTCAAGTTTACCGTGAAGCTCGAAGACCCGCTCGCCAGTAGCTACGTCCAGAGCTTCACGGCGCCCGAGCCTGACTCGCAGATCAAGGTCGAGGACTACGAGCGAACAGACGAGGAGGAGGAGCATTTGGGCTTGAAGGACATCAAGACGGAGGGTTACGAGGAAGAAGGCCAGACCGACGGTGCGGCCCCAGCTGTCAACGGCTCGTGAGGTTTTTGTTTCTCTGCTCGTCTTGCATTTTGGGTGGGTCATGGTTAGATACCAAGGCTACGTCAGCCGACTTGTAGATCAAAAGTCATGATCTCGTTTGCAGCCGGGTCCCCAGGGCAGTGCGCGAGCTAATGTCAACAATGATATCCTAGTAAGCTTATCAAGAGCCGACGCATCATGCAGCTATTGGGTTGGCGTGGATGGTGACGTTCTTTATCTCTACTCGCTCCTTGGGCCTGGACTTTTTGTCCACGTCTAGCTTCTCCAACTCATCCAAGACGTCGTCGCCTTCCAAGAGCTTGCCGAAGACGGTGTTCTTGCCATCGAGATGCGGAGCTGGAGCTAGGGTGATGAAGAACTGACTGCCGTTGGAATTGGGGCCCTTGTTCGCCATGCTGAGGATGCCTCGGGCGTTGTGCCTGAGGGCGGGCCGGATCTCGTCTTCGAACAGCTGGTTCGGCGTGTCGTAGATGGAGGAGGAGGTCTTGGATTTGGGGTCCGAGGCTGGGCTGCCGGCCTGGATGACGAAGTTGGGGATTAGGCGGTGGAAGGGGCTGGCATTGTAGAAGCCAGAGGCGCACAGGGCGAGGAAGTTCTCTGCCGTCTTGGGGACGGATTCGCAAAAGACCTCGAGCTTGAGATCGCCGCGCGACGTGTGCAACTGTCGCGTCTGTTAGCCGGGAGCGCAACGTGGACAGGCTTACGCTGCGCATATGCGGTCAGAAGGCTTCTGGAAGGCTGGGGGATGGGGGGAGCCAGACAATCGGGGACATGGGGGCGAGAAGAGCTTCACGAGACGCATACGAGGACAGGGCCACGGGCACTCACCGTGACGGACATGGCGGGCAGTGTGCAGTGTGCAGGCACTGGCAGGCAGGCAGTGGTGGCTTTGGGGGTTGCGGGGGGGTCGTGATCGAGCTCAGCTTCAAGCCGCCAGCGCCGTGTGCCAATTAGGTCGTCCAACTCCGGCGCACCTGGTCGACGCCAGCATCGCGGCCACAACCCTCGCCCTCATGACATCGCAGTCCCATTCCCACCCGCCCGCGCTCGTCCGCCCGCGCGCCTTCACACTCGCCGCCGCTCGCTGAGCCCGCCACCAGTGCAGCAGGCCCGTCGCGTCGCAGCAGCAGTCGTCCCATGTTCATTGCCTTGGCCCGCCGCCGCTGAGCTCTCGCCGCCCACGACGCCGCCCGCATCCCAGCCCTGCCGCAACCTCACGACGCTACGCTTCCTCCACTTCCTCAATCCACCCCGAACCGCTCGCTGCACCCGCCCTCGGCCTGTGCGACCGGCTCATTGCCGCCATACCCCGCTGGTTCGAGCATTCCCACGTCCACACCCACCTGCATCGCGACCCCGACCCCGACCCCACGTCCCGCAGCCGGGAGGCTAGCAACACACAGCCAGCCCGCTCTACACCGCACCAAACTGGAGCTCCTCGAGCGCGCTCTCCCCCGCGGCTACCACAACAGGCGGGCTCGTCGTCTCCCATGCCGCGCCCATTGCGGCACCAGGCCAGCGCCGTCACCGTCAGACAATCATGTCGGCCTTTGTGCGGGTCTCTGGACCGCCAAACAGCAACTTCCTGGTAGGGTATCCAGGCATATCCGCGACGCTGGTGAGTGCCCTCGACTCTTTGTCTACTGCGTACCTCTCGGAACACTCTCTCCTGGTGGGCATATCGATTACACGGACCGTTTACCGCTTTCGCATAGCGTATAAATGCTGACTAGTACTGTAGCCACGCATAGAGGGCAAGGTCGAGATTCGACCGCTGGTTGGAGTATCCGCGCCCGTCCTCGTCTCCCTCGTCACTATCGCCCTGCAGCGCCGCGAGACCATACACCCTGCCGCTGACTCCGTCACAAAGAAGCACCTGGCGGCGCCGCGCAAAGAGATTACCGATATCGTCGGCAAGGAGATGCTCCTGTTCCGATGTGGGCCTGGCAAGGAACACGAGAGCATTCTCTCCATGGACCTACCATTTGTGATATTCATACCCTACGGACGAGGGGGCGAAGAGGTCGCCAGGAGAGTTCCCCCCGCCAGCCTACAGCTGCCCAGTCGCACAGCCGAGACTTTCTACGAGCTGGTCGTCACGGTCCAGCAGGGCCATTCTGATCAGAAGAAATACCCATTCCCAGTGCCAGTATCGAGATACGACACCCTGTCTACTTTTGGCATGTACAACCGACCCGAATCCGCTGAACGAGTGACCGACCACCTAGTCACACTCGGCATCAGCTTACCACGCTGGAGCTATGGGCCACTGGATCCAGTATCCGTGTATATCAAGCTCAGCCCGAATCCGGACTGGCTGAGTAAGGCAAAAAGGGTCACCATCCAGAAGATCACCGTGGGGATAGACGAGGAGATTATATTCAATCACGAGGGGGACGAGCCGACAAGAAAAGTCAAGACTCTGGCCAAGACAACACAAGCCGTAGGTGTCAAAATGCCGGAAGCTGGCTATTTCACCAATCTGGGACTGGTATTCCCAGCCAAAGATTTGCGCGACTCGGACGGCATCATACCGCGAGGCAAAAAGGAGTTTCCAATGTATTCGGTCAATGGTTTCACGACGACGGGCACACTGTACAAGATTGAATACTATTTGACAGTAAAGGTGAGCTGAACATTCATATCGAATCCCCCGTTGCTGACCATTTCAGGCACAAATGGGATCCGCCCGAGACATATTATTACGGCAACCCATTGTCGTCTGCCCATTCGACCACGCTGGCTGCAAAGAGGAGATGGAGGCAATAGAACAAGCCGCCAAGGACGCCGCACACGTCAGCCCGGACAACCCAATGCTTCCCGCGAGCACCATTGTGCGGTCGAACGAGCCAAACGGACTGAGAGCCTTGGGCATGGCCATCGTTGGCGGAGTGCGCAAACCGCTGATTGAGTGAGCGAGTGTCTCTGAGCGGAGGGCTTTCTGGCATTTCCTCGGATGGCGAACACCTCGCCACGCACCTGTCCCCGCTTTGCGCCCAGCATGTGAAGGCGTTAGTGCATCAACCACCATATGCATGCATGTATAACCCCAGAACTTGGAAGCAAGCATTTTCGAAGAGTTACACGAGCGGAGCCACGGCCCAACAGGTGCTGTCGGGGGCCTGAGCGCGCCACTTGGCCGCGCAGCCTGCTTTGGGCGAGGGATTGGTTCGGCAGATACCAGGCGTTCCGGTTCGGATTGCGAAGAGAGCAGGAGAGGCCGGGACGTGTCGCGTTCATATACCACTTCTGGATACTTTGCTGCGGGAGTAGGCGCACTGGGATTGAGCACCTGGAGTTTGACGGAGCCTTGTGAGCATTTCCTGGAGCTGTGCCATGGAATTTCAAAGGATGAGGCTGGCGGCTGGATCTAGGGATTTTTCAGATTCGCTCGTTTGGATTCTAATGGTAAAAGTGTGAGGAGAGGAGGAAAGGTGCTGTGCATAGACGTGGAAGGCAAATCCTACTTGAGGCCTTTTTATATATCGAAAAGGCGCCGGGGTTTGAAGGCATCCATCTCGGCATGTGTCCTTGCCGTCATCCCAGTGCCAGACCTTGGCCGCCATATTCGTAGAATGCACAAGGCGCTCATAACTAGCGGAAAGCCTGTCCACTTGCTCCTCGCCAACCTAGAGAATCGACATGTGCACTTGACCCTCGTGAACTTTTCCATAAACTCCCCGTACTCTTGATGAAATACTACCTAGAACTTGCCTCCCACGCCATCACGATTTCCCCTTTGGCCTAAACGCAAGATTCATGACCCTCCCACTGCCCAGCCCCTGCTCTTTCTTCTCCGCCGTCTTAGCAACGTGCGACTCGACCATGGCTTTGATATTGGCGTACTGTGGACTCGATGCGCCGAACGTCCACTCTGCGTTCCGCAGCGAAGATTGCAGCTACACCATAAGGAAACTCGACGCGAGACCTGGGGACAGCGAGGCTTACAGAAAGGAGGAGATCATCTTGCGGTTGTGCGGGCATTTTGCCGCGAAAGCGCTCTTGGTGGGAACGTGGAGTCTCGCCAGATGGTTGGGACTGGGTTTGTAAGAAATAGTGTTCGCGGTAGTTAATGGTGTAGAAAGGGCCTGAGAAATGAGCACGTGAATGGAAAGGAAGCTGGCGCTCAGCTCGACAAAACTCGTCTCAGCATCCCGCCGTTCCGCTACAGAAAAAACTTTCCGCAAACGCAGGGGATCCGTGCTGGGGGCAAAGCTCCAATCACTGCATGTCAAGGCAGAAAAAAAAGCAAGCATCCCCTCCCCGCCTTGGTCCCTAGACTCGAAAGGTTGGGCGGGCATGCGACGTCCGCACGTCATCGCGGCTGTCCGTCTCCCAACAGCTCCCTCCACGAATGTGAAAATACAAAAAGAGAATAGGAATATGCTTACTGAAGGTGAGATTTAAAGTAGATATACAACTCCTAAAAAAGGGGAAATGGCTCTTGATGTTGCTGCCATCCCAACCCTCCCAACAGCCCCCTTCCTCTCCACCGTCCCCACACATTCCAGTACGCAAAAAGACAAAAAGAATAGCGCTCTTGATGAGGGTGGGATTCGAACCCACGCCCGTGAAGACTGCGGTTTCAAGCTGTTTGAAGAGCCTAAACACAGCGCCTTAGACCACTCGGCCACCTCACCATTTTGTGTTGATATTAACGATTTTTTGGCGGTTTATAATATATATAATGAGTCGGGAAAAGTAGAGAGGGACAACGACGACGGAGTTTGGTGGCGAAAGTGGGGCTGAGATACCATGTGGCTATTATTAGCAAACGAGGAAGGTGTGCGGGGTTTGGTGGCTCGGGGCAATGTTGGGAATTCAGTTTAGATCAAGGTTACCAATGGTAGACTTCACTGCAATGGCTTTTGACGCATTCCCTACACCTTGCTCCTATCTTGTTTCGGTGGGGATAGTTTCGAGGCCTCCTGTATCTTGTCCGGGATCTACAGGGATTTACAAGCTATCAATTCGCTATTCATTTCCTCTAGATCGAGTCTTCATCAAGAGATGCTCTGGTGGTATATGCTAAGCTTGGATACAACGACATTCAGCACGCTGATTCAATGTGTGTGAATTATGACAGAAACCCTTGAAATTTTGTTATATGCCATGTAATGCGACGACAGTGTCCGAAGCCTGACTATAGACACCGGCCACCAGATTCCTTCAACTGCAATGGCAGTGGAATCGGCGGTTGGAAATGCAATGCCGCAAATCGCTAAAGTGACTAAACATCCGCTCATCGACATCAGTCCGACTCTCCTCCTCGCCCTGGGTCGATCGTACAAGAGCATCTTGCTCTCGTGGTGTCCTGACCCAACGTCATCCACATCTCAAGTCACCCACATCTCAAGTCATCCCCAACCATGTAGCTTAAAATTCAAGATTCAGCTTCGACATCTTCCTTGGGAAGGTCTTCGACCGAGATGCCCAGCTCCGCCGCCAGCCTCTCCTCTTCCTTCTTGGCCCTCGCGGCCTCGGTCTCCCTCCGCAGCGCCTCCAAATTCCATGCTCCCGGATCGTCCTCGTCGTCGCTCTCGTCGCTATCCCTCTGCCAGTCGCCCTGCTCAAACATTGCTCGCCCTGTGGCCTCCTTCTTCGCTTTGGCTTCAGCTTCCGCAGCCTTTTTGTCCAAACGCTCCTTTTTCCACTTCGCAAAAGAGTCGGCGGTCACCGGTGTCAGGGTGCCGAAAAGCTTTGTGCGTTCGGATTCGAGAAAGTCTTCGAGGGTCAGAGTCGCGAGGGGGGATTTGTCCATGAGGGCCTTTTCCGCCGCGCGCTGTTCCTTGGTTTTAATGACGAAGCTGCGCACGTTAGAAGACTAGAATCAGATTCGTTAGACGTCGAAGCTCACCCAGGTGGCAAACTGTGCCTGTACATGCACTTGTCCCCTCCGTTCGGACATGACCAGAACCACCCGTACTTTTGGTTCTCGATTGCCTCAATAAAGTACTTGCATACTTTGTCCGTCGTGGTCTTGGGATTTCCGTGCTTGGACAGGACGACGTTGCGCAGTTTCTCCTCGTCCCATCCCGCCATGTCGTCCTTTTCCTTCTCCTCCTTCTCCGTTTCCCGTGTGTCGGCGTACAGGCTCCTCTTCTCCGTCTTGCGCTCCACGGCAAGGTCATGGCTGAACTTGCACTTCTTGCCCTTGTCGCACGATCCTTTCTTGAAGAACTGACAGAGCACAGTCTTCGGGTCGACGCCAAAGGGTACTTTTTGCACTTGGACGGGCTTGAACAGTTCGGCCGTCTCCCTGCGGGCGTCTTCGGCGGCCTTCTTCTCCTTCTCGCGCTGGGCCTTCTCGGCTTCCTTGCGTTTTTGCTCGGGTGTTTTTGCGGATGCAGAAGCGGCGTTGATCTGCTTGATTTGTCTCTGCGCAGCGCCACCTTTTTTCTTGGCTTGAGTTAGGTCGAGTTGTTGCAGGGTCGGCGCACGACCAGTGCCAGAATGGAAGGTTGACGTACGTTCTTCATACCAAATGTCTTGTCCACGGCCACCTTCGCGGCCTTGGGCTGGTCTCCCTTTTTTGGCGGCATCTTGACTCAATCGCGCTTCTCGGGGGTTCGTTGTGTGGTGTGACGCAACGATACAGTCCGGTGGATGCCCGAGGAACTATGTGAGAGGCGTGGTGAGGGTGTGGTGCCTGGAAGCCGGGGTGACTGTCCGTAGGGTGGTGTGGCTATGGAGGGCAAAGTCAGAAACCCGGGGACTGCGAGTGTGGTGGGGGAGCGGAGCGGAGCGGCTCTGACGGCGGGATCGGGTCTGTGCGGGTTTGCCAAGCTGATTCGCGGAAGCTCTATGTGGCTTCACGAGCTCTCCCGGTCGTGTATTCCACCATTCCAACCCTGTACCGCTACCAACCGCAGCGTTTGGAAATTCTCGAGTCTAAAGTGAGTTGCTCATGGAACATTGTCTTGTTCAACACCTAATTGCCGTAGAGACCATTGCCGTAAAGACCGTCCCCAGCTCCCGCGGCCGTCACTCCTCGAACGCGCATTCGCAATGATATCCGACAACCAGCTATACAGCCTTGCCATTTTCCTCGGAAGCGCTGCCATGCTTCTCATAGTACTATACCACTTCCTCGAGGTCAATTCCGACGACCACGCCCGGGCGGAGAAACCTGTAGCGAAGCCAGTGGCTGGGAAAGCAAAGAGCTGAACAGGATGACAGACGGTTACGTCGAATACCATCTAGGAGAGGCCTGCTTGTGGGGATGCAAAAGAAGCGGGTAGAGACGTAGGCATCTGCGCGTCCCACCAGAGTCACGAACGGACGCGGAGGCACCAAAATTTACACAGCCAATGTACCAATATGACAAGTTTAGAGTGGTTTCAATTCCATTACAAGCTACTCTCTATGGTCCCCGAGGGGTTCCTCTTGGCCTTCCTGCTTGGATGGCCGAGGATTAGCATTTGCACCATTCATCCGCTTCTTTCGAATGAGTACATCGCCCAAACGAAACCAGGTCTCCACACATGAAGCAATCTTGCCACAACACACAGTCTTAGTCCTCGGCATCGACAAACTCTTCTTCGGTATCGGGTTGATTGCTGAAGCCGCGGCGTCGCTTCTCGTTCACCAAGGCAGAGCCACCACGGTCCATTCCAGGGCCACCAATACGCTTCTTCTGTGAAATCATTTGCTTTGATATCTCGCGTGCTTCGTGTTCTCGAGAGGCCTTGGGCGGCATCCCGCGACCACTAGAAGACGTGGGATTGGTGACTTTGAACTCCGCGGTAATGCGAGGAGTGACACGCCGACCCTGAGCGTCGCTGAGATAGGACTCTAAATCATGTGCGTCTAATTATCCTAGCGTCAGTGAGAGTGTCTCTCCAACAGGGTCTACCTCTCCTCACCAGACAGTCCGCTAGCGGGACCATCACCAAGTTCCCAAGAAATAGGGTTCAAGTGTTTGATCTCGAGGTGTTCATTCCATTGGCCTTCGTTGGCAAAAGAGACTGACTCGCTCCTGTCTACCAGGAAGTTGGTGACGGAATCAACCGAAGCGACGGTGCGACCGCAGTCACCCCAGAGGCACCCCAAAACGCCCTCGGGGGTCACTTTGCTGTGAACCTTTTGCACGTGCTTCTGTAGCGTCTCCAAGTTGTGTAGGTCAGCCTTGCAGCCCTGCCACTTGCACTTGAAAGATTGATACTGCGGAGTCGCGCGGGCAGCGCTGGGCGAACGTGAGCTTACCATGACGGCTTCGTTCTTGTTCTTCTCTGTAACGACGAAGCGCAGGTTGCTCGGCTGTGATGGCCTGTGCTGGTTTGTTTGAGAGCTTGCCTGAGCCGCAGGTGATCCGTGTATCGCCTTTCGCCAACCAACAGGCCGTCCTCGCGTCTTGGGCAAAGGCTGCCTATCGGGACTGACTTGCGTCACTGACTTGAAAGCAGCATGGCCTACCCCGCCCCCACTAGGGGAGGGGCGCGGGCGGGGCTCGCTTGCGCTCATGTATGAGGGTTTGATGGGTTTGGCAGGTGTTGTCACTGTTGTCGCGCCGTCCTGGAAAGGGAACGAATGTCGTGGAGGTTCGCCCCGTCGTTTGGTTTCGAAGGGGTTAGTGTCGCTCGGTAAAGCCCCAGCTCTTGGCTCGGCGTTAGTAACCGGCGCCGGCTGTACCGACCGCTCCTCGTCGCTGTCGAGCTCGTCGTCCGCCTCTTCGCCAGGGAAAGCCTGGCTCTGGTCTCTGTAATACCCCGGAGGAGGCCTCCCGGGATCCAGCATGTCCCATCGCAGTGTACTCAAATCCGAGTTGTACTCAACACCTGGTATCCGCTTGATCAAAGCTTCTAGATGTGCATTAAGATGCCGCTCATCAGGATGTCTTCCGCATGCTAAAAGAACATCTCTGGCAATCGTCTTCGAGTTGTACCTATTACGACGCAAGGCCTTCTTTCTATCAAGGGGCTCCACCAAGTCGATATTGCGGAACTGACTCTCAGTAATCGCAGGCGAATGAAAAGGACCTGCATCCAATGGAGATTCTGGCATGCTCGCCGCGTTTTGAAAGTTGTTTGGCACGACCGCTGGCTCGTCCATATGCATGAGTGCAGAGCCCGAGTTGAGTTTCTTGATAGGCGGTAGGTCGTCTTCTTCACTCACGGCCGTCAAATCGATCAAAGCTTCAAACGTCCTCTTTCTGGCAGCCTCCTCCTTATTATCCGAAATTACAAGGTCTCGTCCAGCGGCTGCTGGTGTCGGTACTTGGGTTTTCCGGGCAACGGCTGGCACAGGTCGGAGCGGCGGCGGCTTAGCCTGACGAGATGTAGAGTTTAAGTCTGGCACTGCGGCAAGAAGAGTCTTTGCAAGAGCAGCGCGATCTAGCTTTAGACCCATCTGCTCAAGTTGTTCGCAGAGTTCAATATAAGACGGGTTCACATCAAGCATGCCTAGTAACGTTTCTGGTGTGACCGTAAAACATGGCGGGTTCTGTTGATTTAAATATGTCGAGGTGGCCTTTGCGAGCTCAGCCTTCTTTTCTGGAGGCCAGATAGTAGCTCTGGTTGATCGTGCAGGCGTGAAGGCCGATTGTGCTTTAAATGTTGATGCAGGGACGGGGACATGTGAATTGGCCACTGGTAAGGCACTTGCTGGTGCAGGCTGCGTTGAAGCGGGTTGCGGTGCTGCT